CAAGAGAAAAAGGAATAGTGTAAAATTTCTGTGAAAATGAGCTGTGCTGAGTATTCAGTTTCTATGGAATTTAGATTTCATCAAATGCGTTTTAAGTGATAACCCCTTTTTAACTTAAAAATATTAGTATTTACACCAGAAATTACATCTTTTGCAACCAAACAGCACAAAAATTTTTAATGCCAATTTAAAACTGATTTTTAAGGGATATATCAGTAGGAAAGGTGGACACCATTGCCTTTACTCTTTCCTTCATTGAGATCAACTTGGGATCTTGTTTTCACCTTAGGGGAGAAGTCTGTGGTGCCTTCATGAAACCCCTTCTCCAATAATGACTTCACCACTTTTGTGACCTCCTAGGGCCACTGGTAAGACATAGGTTTTGTCCTATTAAATCAATCAAATGAGGCTGTACCCAAGGCTGTAATTCATAGCGTGTTCTATTGCTGTCTCAAATTACATTCTTCCTTCTTGTCCAACATCATCCGACAATCTTTAAGATCAAATACTTTAATAACCAAGAGCCAAGAAGATGTTCCCAATTTGTTGCCCCTCTCTCAATATGGGTTTTCTAGGGGTAAATTAAAAATTCAGAGATTAAATCACCTTGTTGTGCTAATTTATAACCAAAGTAATCAGTGCTAACTTCGTGTTAAAGTCCAAAATTGGTGTTCAAAGTTGAACTCTCTTATCCCTGTGAATTAAAGTTCAAACGGCAGGTTTTGTCACTCTCTGGTAGTGAACTTAGCTCCTGAAACCTGAAGCTTCCCTTTCCCAGGGGAGCCTTTCCTAGGAAGCTGATCCACGTCTCCTGCAAAACATGGCCCCTATCAAGCTTGTGATGTGAGGTAGCTGAGAAGGCCCACTCTCCTGGCTCCCAGGAGAAGGAAGAGGAAGATGGCAGGCTGCACGCTTGCCAAACTCGCACCAGGAAACCAGCTGGTCGCCTAGAATAGAGAATCCAATTGATGTCAGTGGGCACCTCCTCCATATTTCAAGAAATAGCTGATAGGGAAAAGGAGTGTTTTGCCCTAAAGGAGAGAAGAATGAAAAGAAGCATCCTCTCTTATTCCTGGGAAGGTCCTAAGTGAGTCAGAGCTGGATGTTGCCTAACAACCATTAATATTCGTAACATACATGTCAGTGCCTCATGTTTTAGATTTTTGTTACAACCACGCCCTATTTCTGATGTCAATTTTTAGATTAGTCCTGAAAAGCTGACACCCAACAAACTCAATACTTGTGACTTGGAGCAGTGGAAATGACTGTGTTGTACCGGGAGCTCTTTCTCCTTACCTTGTTGCAGGAACCCTGACTGATGGAAGTGGCCACCATTTGAATATCATTAGAGCGAGTGGTTAAAGACGGGCCACAAATTCTTTGTTATTCTTTCTCCTCCCCAACCTCATCAAGATTCTGTTTCCCCTTTCCTTAAAATTGAGCTGGCCCTATGACTACTTTTATCAACAAAATGTGTCCTATCCAGGCCCAAGACTTACAAAGACCTGCAAGTCTTTGTTTGTGTACTTTCAAGAGTCCCGAGCCAGAGGCAGAAGTCAGGCTTCTCTGTTGGAGAAGCCATGTGAAGAACACAGGCCCTGGACAGATGGGGAAAAAGAAAGACTCCCACCAGTCTAGCCTCCCAGTGGAGTCTCCTAGTTACTCCAACTCCAGACAGTGTCTGGCTGGAACCACATGAAAGTCCCCAAAGCAAACTCACACCACTGCCTGAGCCCAGTAAATCCACAAATCCATTAAAATAAAACAGGGGGCTGTTTTCAATGACTGAGATTTAGAAGGGTTTGTTATGGGACAATGGGTGACTGAAGTGTTCTGTCACTGCAGCTAAAGGAGAGAGCAGGACACACGTGCACAGATTCTTCTGCTTTGGTTTGGAAGTGACCCAAGGAACTCCCAGTCCAATTTCACTGGCCATGCCGAGGTCAAAGGAGTGGGGAAATCCAAGTGTGCTGTGTGTGTAGGAGAAGAGATGGAAACGGTGGGTGGCTAGCTCTCATATGCCCCAGAGAGAAGGCAGGGCTGCAGGGGGCACCTCCACAGGGTGGGCAGGTGAGGTCTAAGGAGCCGTGGTGTGAGGGCCACATGCAGGTGACCTCTAGGCATGGTAGAGCTGCTGGGTAAAGAAGGGTAGAAAGGAAGCAGGAAGGCAACGTCCAGAGGAAAAGGGAGAAATCTTGGGATCCCAAGGAGAATTCCAGTAATGGATGGTCCTGAAGAGCAGAAAGTGGGTGGTGCAGGCAGGAAATCCACAGAAATGTGAAGAAGAAAGTCAGTATGGGCTGAGGCAGTCCAGGCCTCAGGTGGGAGGAAGGCCAGTAACAGTTTGGGTGGTTGGAAAGGAGTGAGAGGGGTGCTGTCACCGAGGAAGCAGTGCTGATTGATGCCTTGGAACAAGTTGGAGAAACAGCAAGTTTCAGAGGAAGGAAGAGCCGTGAGACCATTTATGGCTTTATGGAGACCCCTGAGCACGAATCAACCTTTAAATTGCTGAGGTCCCCTTGGGTTGTTGTCTGAGCAGAGGAAATTGTAAGGCAGGACTAGTCCCTTCACGTGGGACTAAGTCACTGGTTGGAAAGTGACTGCAGTTTCCTGAGCAGGAATATCCTATTGGGAGAGATTATCATCTCCAGGCAAAAGAGAGCTCCCTCCCAGACCAGTACAGGGGGATTTGCAGGGAGAACAAGCTGATCAGAGAACTCCGAGGGGGCGGGGCTTCAAGTGTGAAGAAGTCAAAACATTAATCTCCGCGACAGTATAAAAGGTATAAAAGAAAACTTCTTACTTCCCGTGGCAGGCAGTGTTGGCTAATTTCAGTCGCCATGAAACACCTTTCTTTTGATTTTTTTCCCATCATTTAAAAGTGTGACCGTCGTTCTTTGGCCCTCAGTAGGTACAAAAGCAGCTGGCAGGCCATAGTTTGATGACCCCTTCATTCGAGGTACTTTTTAATATGTGTTCTTTGCAACAAGCCAAACAGCACAGAGATGTGGGAAAAAAGTTAAAGCTTTCTACTTTTATCTTACCATCACGCAAGCACGTGCACCTGCACACACACAGCATGCGTGTGTATGTTACCAAAATAGGCTTACACTAGTCAGTCTGTGCTGTCCCCCTCCCCCCCAGCCAACACGGTGTCATGGACATTGTTCTAGCACCTGCTGGAAGCAGGGCCCTGTGCTTTATCTCATTTACCCCATAACTACTGTATGAAGTAGGTGCTGTCCCAGGAACTCAGATGTGATCCATTTGCCTGGAGTCATGCAGCTACTGATTACAGGCGCAGCAATTTGAACTTGGGCAGTCTGGCTCCTGAGTCCAAAGTGCTGACACTGCCTCTTACTGTCTTTCAAATAATGCTACTTTTGTTCTTTTTAATAACTGCACAGTACTCATAACATGCCCAGAACTTATTCAATCGTTTCCTCTATTAATAAATATTGGTCACCTCCCCATATAAAAGTCTCAGTATGCAGTTCTCCAAAGTGAGATTTGCGGTTAAAGGACTTAATTATTTTTTATTAGACACGACCAAATTATATTCCAAGGATTCTGCAGCATTCTTAAACTCCCAAGCACTCCAAGCCTCATGGGACAGTATCTGTTTCCCTAAACCCTCACCAGTCCTGGGTGATTCTGCTATATTTATTTTAGCCACCCCACCCATAACCCCCTCCACAGTGTGATCAGCAAATGTTAATTTTGATTTGCATCTTTTCTGACTACAGGTGAGGCTGAGACTCTTTCTGTATGTTTTTGGGGTGTTCACATTTCCTGTTCCGTGATTTCCTCTCTGGCCCATAATTTCTTTGGTTGACCATTTGGGTAAAAATCTCTGGGAATAGTTACCGTGTTAGTGAGCAGCATTAACTCTTCATTTCTCCATATTCACTGTCTTTTTGATTTTGTTGTGTTATCATTTACTTATAAAAAATGCTTAGTTTTTGTGTGGCCAAATCTGTTGTTGGTCTTTTCCTTCATGGCCACTAGCTTTATTGAAATTGAGGAGTTTGAGGCATTTCTCCTCATTTTGGATTAGGACAGCTGGCCCTGACCTGGCCTGGACGGCTCAATGGGCTTGGTAACTTGTGTCTCAGGTAACTTGTGTGCTCTTACCTTTGGAGTGTGGGGGGGTCTGCTCTTTCATTATCACATTCAACTGGACTAAGGTAGACCTGTCTGCCCTGGGAGTCATGTGTCACTTATAAAAGTATGTTTGCATGTCTTCATTCTGATCTGCTCTGTGTTGGTTTTCTTTCTCTTGCTCCTAGTTTAGAGCAAGCACCAGGCCCTTTGGACTTTATGTTTTGTTCTTTTCACCCGGCCTTGACCTGAGTCCTTAATCTTTTTAAAGGCAGTTTGGAGGGTGGGTATGCCCTTGCTATCAGACCTGTGCTTAGTGATGATAATTGGTGATGGGGAGGCTGTGGGTTTAAGAACGAGTTAGACTGCCTTTGATTACAGCTGGGGAGGCTGTTAAAGCTGTGGGCCCCTTTTCCATAAAATAGGAGCGATAAGAATACTGCTCCGAGGCCACTTTTGGACAATGCAGGGGAAGCCCATAACAGTTAATTTAGATGTTTCCTCCTTTTTGGTCATACTTCAAGAATGTTTTAATGAGGTCAAGTCTTCACAAATTACCTTGGTACCCCTTTTGGCAAAACAAACTCTTTTCATTCACTGTCAGCCCATAAAAGAAAAATGCAATTTGTTCTCCTTAATGACCGGTATCCATTACAGAGTCTCTGCAATGAACTGCCAATTTCATTACTGAGATGAAAAACATTTAAACTCTTAGTGGAAATTAAATTTGGGGCCATTTGTATCAACCACGGCTCAGGATCAGGGAACAAAGATAGATCATGTGTGGGCTGGGGATAGATTCTGGAGGGAAGAGTCTGGCTTGCATTTTTAATTGATGTGTTAGTCGCATTCCATCACTGACAAAATGCCTGGGCAAATCAACTTAAAAGAAGGAAAGATTTATTTTGGCTCACAGATTCAGAGGCTTCAGTCCATGGTCACCTGGCACTGTTATTTCTGGTCTGGTGGTCACACAGAACATCGTGGTGGAACGCACAACTGCTCAGCTCATGGTACCTGGCAAACAGAGAGAGAAAGAGAAGGAGAACTCATAACAAAGCTTCTCCCCACAAACCCATTCAGCTCTTGATTGGGTTTGGTTGGATTGATTGATCCACTGATGAAGTCGGAAGCCTCATGATTCTGATCACTTCCTAAAGCCCACCTCTGAGCATGGCTGCATTGGTCACCAGGCCTTCAGCACATGAGCTTTTGGGAGCCATTTAAGATCCAAAATTTAACAATTGACAAATAATAATTATATCTGTTTCTGGGGTGCAGTGTGGTGTTTTGATAGGAGTATACATCAGGAAATGGTCCTATCCAGCTAAGTGACATATCTATCACCTTGCATAAGTTTTTATAGTGAGAATATTTGAAGTCTATTCTTTTTGGCAACTTACAATACAGTATTAGCCATAGCTAATAACAAGTTACAGTATTCAGTGCAGCACAATTTAAAAAACCTTTTCCTCTTAAGTGAAACCTACCTTCTAACCATATCCCCTACCTCACAGCCAGTCTCTCACAATCTGTATTCTTCTCTCTAGTTCTAAAGTTTCAGTTTTGCTGATTCCACATTTAAGTGAGATCATACACATTGTCTTTCTGTGCCTGTCTCATTTTCCCTAACACTGTCCTGTGGGTTCATGTATTTTGTTTCAGATGACAGAACTTCCTTCTTTTTTTTTGTGGCTTACTAGTATTCTGTTGTGTGTGCAAATCCCACTTTTTATCCGTTCTTCTGATGATAGACACTTAAGTTGATTCCATTTTCTTGCTGTTGTGAATAATGTTGCAGTGAACATAGGAGTAATGATGTCTCTTTGACATACCAATTTCAGTTCTTTTGGATATATTCCTAGAAGTGGGACTGCTGGATCATATGGTAATTCTATTTTTAGCTTTTTGAGGAACCTCCATACTATGTTCTTCTGTGGTTGGTAGATTCCAGAATGGGCACAGAATTTTTTTCTAGTCTTTATTAATGGGCTCACAGACTTAAAATTAGAAAGGGCCTAAAGTTATCAGCCAGGCTTTCTCTTGCCCTCAGGTTAGTGGTCGATAAAACCAACCAAGGTAGGCAGTTTGTTGATAGTATTCGTGAATGACAGCTGATTTTACAGTTAGACCGCCTGGCCCTGCTCTTAGATCTGCACCCAAGAGGCAAGGGGGAGAAAGCTGAAGCCAGCTCCTTGCTCACGTCTTGCTGTCCTTCGTGCTTGGGTATTCTCCTCCACGTTTCACAGGAATTAAAATCAACTAGGACATTTGAATGCTGTGTGCAAGACATTGTGTGGGATGGTGTGGGGGGGCGGGGAGAAGGGAGGACTTAGGTAAGGCAGAGTTCTTGTCCTCGAGTTGCAGAGGTTGCTCACTCAAATGCCTGGGAGATTAAGTCAGTCAAGAGGCTCTGTGTGTGTAAGAAAAACAACATAGTAAGCTTGGTGAAGGACAACGGGTCCGTGTCACTGATGATCGGAGGTGGGGGCTGTGGCACACTGGAGCGAGCACGCCCTGTTTAAAGGGAGCTGCCTATGCCATGGCCCAGCATAGTGGTTCTCAAAGTGTGGTCCCTGGACCAGCAGTATTGGAATCACCCAAAAGCTGCTTCGGTGTGTGGATTTTCAGCCTCATCCCAGACCTACTGAGTTGGGGACTCCGAGAGGGTTTTGTAGTGGGGATTTCAGTGCTCCTTTCTGGTGTGAGGACCATTCTTTGTAGGAATGTGGAGTTCAGTGCTGCTAGCTCTTTTGATTGTTCAATAGAAGCTATAAAACTAAACATTTATGGAAACCTACTGAATTTTTAAAGTCAGACTTTTCAGAGGATGTATATTTTTGGGGGGGTAATAGAGAGGGATGTGCAGACCAAACTGCGGGCCCAAGAAAGCATGTCTGGGGGCTGGATGACCTCAGACCTCCACTTCCTACTCACAAGAGAGAATCAGAGTCTACATCCTTGTGGGACCAGAGGAGTGGTCCTCAGGGAGTGCGTGCGTGTGTGTGTGTGTGTGTGTGTGTGTGGGTGTGCTTGTAAAAACTGTGTGGTGTCTGATACTTTCTCAGTCCAGGTGCTTCCCACAGTTCCTCCAGGGTGAAAGTCACAGCGTGGTGAGCCACTGCCGCTTCTGTAGCTCCAGAGCATCCCCAGGTGTGTGAACAAGGGAGGAAAGGAGCCCTGCTGCCACCCTGGTTTATAAGCTGCTTTCCCATGTGCCCTTCTCAGCTCCTCTCAGCCTTGTCCAGTAGATAGGATAGAGACCCTCTGCATTTAAAGCTGCCATAATGGCCTGTGGCCACACAGCTTATAAGGCGTAAACCTGAAACTGCGAGCTTACCAAACCTCACGATTTCTTGAGTTTTTCTGCCATGCTCAGATATGTGTGTCCATACTTATTTACCCAGACCACCACTGATTCCTGCAAGCCTCTGAGTGGCTCACTTTGCTGACTGCTGTGTTTTCTTCACATTTGGTATTGATGATCAGTTGTACATAATGAGGGGACTGATTGTTACATGTTTGCACATGTATGCAATATAAGGTTATTCTTTGGTCAATATCACTCCCCAGCACTTTTCTTTGTTTGACTGGTCCTTGTGACTAAGTCCTGACTGGTTTCCTTCCTGGCTCGGAGTTCTGCCTGCAGCCCCAGCTCTTTTTCCCTTTGTCTCCTGGGAATTCCCCGGTGCCAATCACCCATCTTGGAAGTTCTCCCCAATACCATCTCTGCTCCTGGGCTGTGGTTACTCAGGGTCCCAAGTCTCTCTGTTCTGGCCTGCCTGGTCACCCACTGAATCTCAGTGGGACACTGATTCCAGAGCTGCTCCCCATGCAGGTGACATGTGGCCTAGGTGTCAGTCCTACCTCTCTTCTCACAGGCTGCCAAGCGCTGCCAGGACAGTGGCTCTCTGACATGAGGCAAACGTGGATGACAAACGTGCATAATATTAGGGGAGCTGGATTTTAGGATTCTTCAAGCGCCCTACCTAGTCCAGCCTAGAATGCAGCAGGCTCGCACCCAGAAAGCCCTACCTGGAGAATTTAGTGGTCTGGCATTTCCAGGGCCCGTTCAATACTACTGGATTTTTGAATTCTGCAAAGTACAGGGTGTGGGATGGGCATTGTGGCTGGTTTTGAGACAGTCTTTTACAGGGGCTGTTTTTTCCACCTGGATATTGCCAGGTGTCAGGGAGGCATGATGGGGAAGAACTGGGTGTGGTTGTGTGCCAGGTATTCATAGCAGGGCCTGCAGGTAAACACCATGCTCCTGGGCTGTGGTTATTCAGGAGAAGAGGAGGCTGTCTAGTCTTCTCTTTCCTCATCCACACTCTACTCTACAGGCAGAGGCAGAGACCTAGTGACCAGGAAAGCACCTGGGTCCAGCCCTGCTCTGGCTGTTTGTAGGAGGAGATGGAAAAGGTGTTTATTGCAAGAATCCCATATATTGATAGATTCCTCCGCTTTGAACTGCTTGCAGAACTTGCCTGGACTATGTAACTATCGTTTGGTGCAGCGAATTGTGGTAATGCTGGCATATCTTTGCTGATGGTGTCACCAGTGATGCAATTTTTCCCAAGGAGCCGTCAATTGGCTTGGTGTCGTGGCATTTCTGTATCCTCCTCCCTTCTGCTAGTGATGGTCTAAAATTTGGGGGCCAATGGCTATATGCT